TTTTTATAAACTTACATAGTTTTAAATACCTTAACAAAACAATTTACTCTTAAAAAAATACTCCCAAAATATATTATTTTATTTTCTAAAGAGAGAAATAACCATTAAAATGAGAAGAATTTGTAGATTATTTCACACAAATTATTATCTCTCATTTGAGGGTTAAGTCTACTGTTTTATCTACCAAATTAGCCTCCAAAGTAAACGCCCCTCAAAAGCAAACAAACTTAAACAAACACAACAAACACAAAACGCCCACAAAAACAGACCTAATGAAATAAAAATCAAGGAAAGACACAGAAATCCAAATAGATTGAAGCAATATTGATGAATTATACAAAATACAGACTGGAAAAACAAAGAGGAAAATTGATGTTACAACACTTGAATAGGAAAAATTGGGTCATTCGAGGGAGTGAAATGAAGGGGAACGTGGGGGAATTTAACAAATGAAAAAGCGACAAGAACTTATTAAGAAAATTTAAAAAAAAATTGTATTCAAGTTCTTTCTACTTTTGTGGAAAGGTACTAAACCTATTTCATTTCGCAAACATCACTTGTTTAATGAAAAACAACATCAAACTGTTGCTTAAAATGTTCCAAAACTTTTTACATTTTAAACGATGATCTTTTAAGTCCTATGACACTAAAACTCACACTCTGTGTAACCTATAAAGTATACTTTAAAATCAATTAGTTAGTCTGCTTAACATCTGAATCAACTAAAAGACAAATCTCATTTACGCCTCTGTTGACATATTTTGTTTTATATCTGGGAATTTATTTTTATGCCTCCAACTGTCGGCACCTATGGAGAAACTCCCCTATATATATATATATTTCTATATCTTTACACTCTATTTCTGATTCGGTGAATGCCTCGCTGGCAGTTCCCGCTAATTTGTGCTCCTCCTTCCCTTCGGCAGCTTAAAATTCTCCTGGGCGCCCCTCCAAGAGAAAGCGGAAGCCAACGAGGAGACGAGGAGACCAAAAGAGCAACAAATTCCACGTCAAGAGTTTGGTGAATGCCTTTGCTGAATGAATAATGAGGCGGGCGTGCCGGTCCCTACTTAACGGGGTACTATATACTATATAGTATAGGGAAAAACTGAAGAATTGGATGGAGATTCTGTAGACGCGTCTACGAGATCCTAAAGGAAAGACTGGGGCAGGTCAGGATAAAGTGGCGAACAAGTTAAAAGCATTTGACGGATGAGAAATGCTTCTATATATGGCATACAGGAAGATAAGTTGTGAATTGTACAAAGAACTAAAGATTTACTAAGAGTTAACGATGAAAGAGCTAAAGAAAGATGGATATTTATTGATCTGAAAAGAAGATTCATTCGTTTTCTTATTTTAAAGAACATTTTATGCTTCAATAACTAACACATCTGTATTTTAAAAATTGCAATAAAGCAAAGCTAAAAAAAACCCTAGTTAATGTCTTTATTAAAACGTAAATACGGAAGTCTAAACCAGACATATAATCTGTATCTGTATATGTATCTGAAAGATGCACCTACAACTACAAAGAGATGAAAAACAAAACAAACACAGACACAACCGCATGGCGGCAGCAACACATGACAGAACAATAATAATACAGAAATACAAAAAAACACAGGGAAACCCGGACTGTCATAAAATGCGACACCTGTTTCAGGTTGTGGCAGTCCCTCCACCTCCACCTCCCCCTATACACACCCACACACTCCACCATTTTCCCCTTGTCTCCTCACATTTGTATTCTTTTCGTGTGTTTGCAATGCAGTTTTCTTTCATTTACCACAATTATTTACTTTGGCTAAATGCGGGCCCTTCAAAAAGGTAAAAGAACCCAAATGTGGTAGAAGCATTTCCTTACTGATTACACTGGTACAAAATGATGTATAACATTGTTAAATTAAGAAATATATAACACACCTACTGTTTGACTAGTGCAAAAACTATAATCTTGTCAGAATAGGAGTAATAATCGCATAAATATAATTTAAAATTATAATACAATTATTTATGCATTGAAAAATATTGAAATTATTTATTAAATCATTTCATAATGTCGTTAAGGATAAATATTCGAAAAATATAGTCTAAAATTATAATACAATTATTTATGCATTGGAAAATATGGAAATTATTTATTAATCCATTTCAGACTGTCGATTATCTTCAATTTTTTATAGATATATATTTGTAAATAATCAAATGAACTTATAAGATGTTTCAGTATTTTCCAAGTATTTTTTACCAGTGCATTTGCAGTAGAACTTAAAAGAAAACACACTTTTTGATGACTTCTACTTAGTTTTCGGTGCATTGAACTGTTGGCACAGGTGGAATAAGCGGAAGAAGTGGCGGCTTTTGACCCAGTTTGATTTATTGGCATTTGAATGCATTTCCATTTCCATCTTCATTCATTCAATTCAGTCAGTCAGTCAGTCTGTAGGTCGATCAACGAGTTCTTCAGGTTGCCGTTGAAACCAATTAAATTTCAATTGACGACGTCATCTGCCTCTTCAATCAGCCACTCAATCAACCCCTTTGGCGCAGCTTTTCTCACCCCCCAATTTAAACAGTGTTTCTGACACAATTCAATTCTTTCACAAGCTCTCTGCATTTTCTTTTCTTTTCTATTTCATTCTTGTTTAGCTTTTGGCACACAATTAAAAATAACAACAAAAGCAGCGGGCACGAGTTCTCCTCGTTGCCTTGTTTTTAAACAAAACAAAAAACCATGTGAAATAAAACTTAAAAAAAAAATGTATATACGAAATTGTTGTATTTCAACTTGTTTACCTTGAAACACGTCGAATTGAAGTTCAAGTAATTAATTATACTTAATGTTTAGGTTTTTTGCATTTATTGCATTCAGCTTAAAGCTTATTTTTTGTAAAAGCCTTCTCAATACAATAATTAAAAATTTAATTAGTTTTTGTGTCAATTTAAAAGGGAATTTTGTGGCATTGAATTTAAGCAAATTATATATTTGTGCAATTTTTGACGGCTTAAAGTATTGTTGTATATATTTTATGCATTAGTTAATAAATTAGAATTTAAGACATACATAAATTTACTTTTTTACTGTTTAGATAATTATTTTTTTTAAGGTTTCTTTGTAAAATAATAAAAAAATGTGAATTATTTTTCAACAACTTGTTAGGGGTAAGTAATTTTAAAGGGGTTTTATGTAAATTATATGAAGAACCCTTAAGACTACCCCAACTGCATTGCACAAAAATTAAAAAACTAAACAAAGGGAGAAAAACAAGAGCCAAAAAAAGCATAACCAAAGCCACATAACTGTGCCAAGGCAAAATATTCCAAGCAGCAGCAAAATTTATTTCTTTCTTGGTTGTTTTTTTTTTTTTTTGTTTGCTGGCCAGCATTGTTGTCTTTTTTTCTGCAGACTTTTCAAAAGTGCAAATGAGTAGCGAGAACCGTTAGAGCGGGAGGGAAATGGCTCTAAGCCATGTTAAACAGAGGCCAAAATACACTTAGGGGGCAAAAAAATATCAAATTACAAAGTGCAGCATGATGCAATCCGAAAGAAAGGAAAGAGGAAACAGCTGCCTCTGCCGATTTTCCCACTCAAGTGGATCTCAGATTACTAAGGGAGCTCGAGAAGATATCCCAGATGAGCCACTTGCAGGACTATATCCTGGCTGCATCCTGTACGGATTTAGATAAGGCAGGTGGTCCGGAAGCAGTTGACACTGCCTGGTGGCACTTCGATTAATTAATCGGTGGCATAACTTCCTCAAGCTCCATTAAAAAGAGACTAGAAACAAAAGCCTGAACAGCTAAATAAACCAAACAAAGAGTCAACGATATCTCCGACTGGCACGAACCTGGCCAAAACAATAACACAAAAAAAGCACAGAAAGGCGCGGGGGGGGGAGTACGAAAATCAACAAATAAAACAATTGCGAATTTTCGCATTCGTGGAAAATGTTACAACTGTCCCACACACACACACACTAAATAAATAAAGAAATGAGCCAAAGTTGTTTACTTAATTGCTCGAAAAAAAAAGGAAAAAGAAAAGTAAGGGAAATCCCCAAATGTCTTTTGATATATTGGAATGGCATTTGAGAATCAATATTGTTAAGAATAATGCGTGACAGTTATGGGAGAAGATTTATATCAGAGTTTGGGGATTTAAGTGCTTTTATATAAATAATAATATTATTAATATAGGGATCCTCTTGTTGCACTAGGAAAATATTCTAAAAAAAGATAAACAAATATGCATATTATAATACTAATACTATAGTTGATACTAGAAAACATCGTTAAATTTATATAATAGACCTAGACTTCCACAAGCTACAAGCTACAAATAAGTATTGTTGAATTAGGAGAAGTATTCATTAACAAGATGACTTCATTAATAATTTTAATTGAAAAAAACCAGCTTGCCATTTATTGTTCAAATTCTGAGAAAGTATAAATTGTTTGTCTCTAATTTACCTAAATAATATGTAAATGCAAATAAAATGGAAAATAGAGATATTAAAGTTCAAATAATCTATTTAAAGGTTTTTAAATCCTTTTTGCAAAATAAAAAATCAAAAAATATAATTAAACCTAGCAAAAGTATTGAATTGAATTGGTAAATTGCAATTGGTGTAATTAATATTTTCTTGTCTTGAAACATGGCAAAATGTTTAGAATTATGTAAACTAAATAAAATTTAATTAATATTTATAAAGGCTAATAATTATTATTCCCTAATTAGATTTATTGAATAATATTTTATAAAAAAAAAAATAAATAAAAACACATAACTTTTAAGTATGCTGACAGTTTCCTATTTCCAAGATTTCAATTTAAATCCCTCCATTTTACTCAACTAAACTCTGCATATTCCCTCCCTCTTTTAACTCTTCCTTCCCCATCCCCACCTCATTCTATTTGTCATGGTTTTTTCCCATTTCGCATTTCTGCTAACGAGCAGCCGCTTTAAGGCAAAACAGTTAGTTTTTGGGGCCACGCACCTGTTAAAATATATTTGCGTATATCCAATTGGAGCAGCGGCGCGCAGAGACGGCTTCCAAAACCGTTTAGCGGGACATTAAGTTGTTTAAAAAACAAAAGAAACGAATAATTGCACTTGGCGAAAAGCCACAACAACAACAGCCGCACACAAACGCGAAACGAACGCGAAACAAACACGAAACACACACGAAACACACGCGAAACTAACGAAAAACACTCGCGGACATACGAAGACGCGGAGGAGAGAGAGACACGAAGAGCAGCCGGCCGAGCGCAACAGTTAGATGCTCGCTAAGGTTTGTTGTTGTTGTTGGATGTGTGTATATGCATTTGCTGCAGAACAGGTAGTTGCACAAAAAATATTGCTTAAAATCAACCGATTTTGTATTATTTGTATAATTTCCTGGCACTTTCACTCAGGTCTATTAACATTATCCGCACAAATAGTTGTTTTATATTGTATTTTTCGAATTATACGCGTGCGTAACGTTGGCAACGTCGTAAACTGATTTTTTGTTGCTGTGATTTTTTGCAATTTTCAATTGGAGATAACTCACAAAGCAAGCGCGTAAACGGTATGAAAATATCAAAATATATTGTATAGTTGTCCCGGTAAACTGCAAGTTATGTTTTTTCTAATTGTTTTGTTGATATATACGAAGATTTACGTTTTTTTCCGCGCGCAGCAGCAGCACACACGTTCGCAATTGGTGAAAATTTTTTCCTTCTGACGAGCAAGCGGAACAGGTACTCGATAGCTAGCAAGCCATCGATAACAGTGGAGGCGGCAAAAACATCGTACTATCGATTGCTTAGCATGGTTTCAAACCCATTGCACTGGTTTATAGCTCTTTGGCGCCCTTTATACATTCAAAATTATTGCTCCAAGCCGGTCTTTAGGTGAAATAAAATACCATTAAATGATTTTATTAAAATTATAAAAATACTTAAATAAATACATCATTAAATTATTTTTGTTATAAATACTTAAGTCCCATGTAAATGTTCGGGGTAAATGTGATATTTGAATTAAATTAACAGTTTGATTTTTAGATTGAAATAATTGTAAATTATATTAAATTATTTCGAATAATCTTATTGTTTATGTCCATGAATAGGTTTTAAAATATTTACATTTACTTAAATTTTTAAGCTCTTTCAGCACAACATAAGCAATGTTTTGAACCTTAATTTAACAATGTAAAAAACTTGTTAATAGTTAAAGGTACTGTTCCAAACAATTTTCCAAAAGCTGTAAAAAGCTTGCTTTTTTATTGACCAAAAATCCTTGAATATTAGCCGTTATATTTTGAAATTAAATAAAGTACCTTGATACCTAACCTTCTATATATTTATTTTAAGAGGTAAAATATTTGGTTAAAGGTTTTAAGTAACTTTATCTGTGATAAATCAAAGTATTAAAGTATTTACCTCATTTATAAAAAAGTATATACAAATTCTGATGCATTCTAACTTGCATAGTATTTTCATTTGGGACATTTATCATAACTTTTGGCTCTTGAGAAACTTTGCAAAAATATTACCACAATGCAATTATTGCAATTATTTTTCAATTACCAACTTTCCATTGTTGTCGGACACTCTATAAAGGCCTTAGTGCCATGATGTCCTTGCCAAAGTATTAAGGCACGAATTTTCTTTCTCCTTGCCAGACAGAAACTTACGAAATATGGTGTCTGTGTGTGTGTGTGTGTGTGTGTGAATTATACGAATTATACTTATATCTACTTACGGACTTATTTTTAGTGCCAGCTGAGCGGAGTGCAGCCAAATAGCTGTGATGACCTTACATGCATAAATATTTCAACCGACTTCTGTGCTTTGCTTGTTGCCATTTTCAAGAGCAAGGCAAGGTCTCCGCTGCTACAGCTGCTCCTGTGTAAGGACGAAGCTCAGACAACCACCCACAAACCCTCCTCCACCCACTCCTCTTGAGTCCCTCCCACTAAACTGGTCAACAGGTTGAAAATGAGCGCATTTGAAACTTTTCAAAAAGTTGACTATAGCAACAAAAAAAACCATAAGAAGAAGAGTGAAAAATGCAACTGCCAAAGCTTGTCTTGGCCATGGAAATTCAATTAGCAGACCCAGGCGCTAATTAATAGCAAAATTGAAAGCTTTCCACTTGTTGAGAAAGGTATTTCTCTTTTTTTTTGGGGGGGAAAATGCCATGCCACATGGCCACAGTTAGGGGCCAGTCCAGGCACATCAAACACACACGGCTCACGTGCTAAAAAGCTCCGCACGTGTCCTGTGCGGCACATGAAAAACACCCAAGCGAGGAGGAAAATGAGACGCGGGAGGGAAAAGCTTTCACTGCCAATAGCAACAGCGTGCCCCAAACACGAGCTCCGCCACGAGCTTTGGCCGACTCCAAAAACCATACGAAAAAAATATATATCCTTTTGGCCAACAGTTTGTTGCTCAAGCTGTTCCCGAACGGACGTCCTTCTCCAGAATTTGTTCGCTCCTTTCACAAAACAGTTGTGTGTGACTTCGTTTCGGTTTCGGCCAGAGAAGTTCCTCTATAACAAAAGAAAAGAAAAACAAAAGAAACACAAAAAACCGAATCTAATAAAAGTACAAAAAATATACAAACAAAAACCTTTCAGGGGAGTGGAGTTGCTCCCCAACACAAAAAATAGGAGTGGTGTGTGGAAATATATTAAGTGTATGTGTATGTGAGTGTCTAAATATTTAAATAACACAACGAAACTAAATTAAACAAAAACCCAAATATGAAAAAACAGAAAACTCTGGGCCATATAGTATATTCTTTGGGCCAAAATCAGCTGCCAACTTAGACATGTTAACAATGGGTACTAGGAACATGCAAAACCAACATTAGATTGTGTCAGCCGAAAAGACTTTAAATGGCAGGCCAAGACGGCAACATGACCAGCAGATTAGCTTTACCGTTTCAAAAGGTCTTAGGTCAGTAACTAACTTGGCCAGTATGCACTCCCCCCCCCTCTCCCAGGGGAAAGTCTGTAGGCATTTAATTAACACAGGACATTAAGTCTAACATCCTTTATTGTGTGTTGGTCAAAAGGTTCTTGGTGAAAGAAAGTTAAAATAGTTGGCAAACGAGTTCATTTAAAAGGAATTCTTAAGTAGACTCAGACTTTCTCTCTCTTGGGTGGCTTAATCAGAAAAGTTAGTCAGGGGGCGGAGGAAATGTGGAGAAAATTTGAATAATGAATTCATTTTAATACGCTCCAGTTGTTATCGGAATTTAAATGAAAGTAGATTATCTTAAGCAGCTTAATCAGGGCGGTTAAATCGGAATTGGAGTAGGAATAATGATTAGTAAATAGATTTTTATTACGCTTCAGTTATCAACTGATTTGAATAAGAAATTGGTTTGAAGCAATGTCTCATTTAATGTCTGGTAAGTGATAATTTCAAATGATGTTTAATGAGTATACAAAACGGTTTTAGTAAGTCTTCAAATATATTTCAGTACCTTTAAATACCTTTTAACTAAAAATGAAAGGTAGAAATGCAACAATTTTTAAGTCAAAAAAGTTAAGAAACATTTGAAATAAATGTATCTATAAATATTTATGGAGAAAATCTTAAAGAAAATATTAAAAATGATGTAAAAACTATTAAAGGTTCAAAAGAAAATAAAATAAAATATAAGTAAAATTACGTTTAATAGAGCTGTTTAAAAATATAAATACCTATAAAATATTCTAAATAATATTATATATTAACCTTTAAACCTTTAATTTTACAAGTTTTCAAAGTATTAAGTTTAAATTTACTTCATAAATTTAAATAAAATCTTGAACTAGAAAAGTTCAAACAAAAAGACAACGATTTATATAACTTCACCACTTAGCAAACAATTCGTATGAAAATCAGCAGTTAAATACTTCCGCACCATTTTGTTTTATTAACTTGTAAAAAAATATATTGTACAAAAAAAAAGAAATAATAATGAAACCTATAAAGAACTGCCAAATCAGCTTCGTTTCGAGGTCATATATAAAGCCAAGCAAAGTTGAAAAGAAATAATAAAGACCATTTGCCTTTTGGTGCTCCTTTTTTTCTGGGACCTTATGGAGAGGGCTCGCTTTCTCTTAGCCAAGTTAGTGAGATTTCTCCCAAGGCTCTAACGCCATTCAAGCAAAACTATTATTCGCAGTTTTGTTAAGAGTTTAGCGAGTCTATTTTCGGGCGGAGCATTCAGCATGGAGCCAGGGGGCTACAGGCCGGCCAAGGCTATCTGCATTTCAAATGACCAACGCAACAATAAAGGCTGGAAATCAACAAAAGAGAGGAGTGCCCCTAAAACAAAACAACAGCGAAAAACTAGAAAAAAAACCCAGGAAAATGACAAAAAAAACTAAAGGCAGCAGCAACAGCAGCAGCAGCAGTGACAATAACCGAGAAGAGCCAACTGAGAATTGTCGCATGCAGGGTGGGGCTTACACACGCACACACACTTGGCCAAAAAGAGTGGCTAACACACACACACACAAACACACACTATCAAAAAGTGGGAGGCTACTTAAAAACAGCGCACACATGACGTCATTAAGCATATTAAATGAGTCTAAAGCGCGTTTTGTTGCAACACTGTAAAAGGGAAATTGTATAGAATATAAAGAAAATATTATGCAGAGATTAACTTTTACAAAATCTAAAATATAATCTATATAAGAAAATATTTAACATCCATTTGAAATAATTTACTTTTAAAATAAAGAACATTTATTTGAGTATCTTAAAGTGTAAAATTCTTTCCAAGAATCTGGATATATTAGAAAGTCTTGAAATATATTTGTTATTATTTTTCTTTAAAATAAAACTAGATATCTTTTAGTATGATAAATAATATTATAAATACTAAAGGTTCTTTTTTACTTTTTGAATTCCTTAACTTAAATATAAAAAGGAAGGGAATTAACTTCGGGAAGCTTAACTTTATAATCCCTTGCAGTTTTCAATTTAATTAAAATATCAATTCCTAAATAAGCTTAAAATATTTGCATTCTTTGAACCAAAATGTATCAATATTTTTATATGACAATTATTGGAACAAATCAAACTTTAAAAACTCATAACTAAGCCAAAAAATCTTCAATTTCAGTTCAGAAAGCAGTCCAATGTTAGTTTTTATTAGGTTAATAAATCTGCATACTCAATTTAAAATGTAAAAAAATAAAATTTGTGACAATTTTTTTTGGTCAATTTTAATGATAAAAAAAGCTGAAAAAATTTATAAATTTTTTTTCTCCCTAAGATGGCCAGATCGATTCGGCTATTGATACTGATCAAGAATATATATGATTTATGGGGCCGGAAATTATTTTTTTGATGTGTTATAAGCTTCTGAATAACATTAAAATACCTTAGAATGGTCTAAACTCTTATATTTGCTTTTAAATAAATAATGATTAACTCATAATAAAGTTTCCTAATACTTAATAATACAAAATAAGCTAATATTGTTATGAAATTATATGCAGCCTTGTAGTTCCTGAAAAGTATGCTACAAAATCTGGAGAAAGACTGAACAATTTGCAAAATTGGAAAATAAGAGTTTCAAAAGTTGTTATGTATAATTCCCCTTAAAAAAACCAATCCAATTATTAAGATAATACCTGCTTAAACCTTTATTATCTACCTCTGCTTGTGCCTTAAGAATTAGCTACGGGTTTCCATAATTTTTCCTTAAATCCGACCTACGTTTCAAGTGCTCCTCCTATTTTTTTCAAGTGTCACTCGTTGCATGGCGTTTAGAGATGAGCAGCAAAACGGTAAAAGGCCATTAACAAACGCCTAATGGCGCACTTGAGACACTGCCCGGCCAAAGGGGCGTGGTCGTTGTTTTTTAAAGGCAGGAAGGGTGTGTTGATAGGGTTAGGCGAAGAAAGCTGATAATGCGAAAAGGCATCCTGTTGCCCCCCTTTATCATGTACTGCTGCTGCGCTTGAAAATTAAAATATTAAATATTCATTTAGTGCAAGGAAGAAATCACATAATCCAAATGGCAATGTGTCGCGGTTAAATATAAAACAACGGAGTGGAGGAAGCCCCCGTCTAATGCATATGTGAAATGATCAACCGAAGGGCAATTTATCAGCATCCCCAAAGTGTGCTGCGGCAAGTGTAAAAAAAGTAAACAACCCAGCAACTAACAAGCTAACAACAGCAATAACAATTTGTCAAGAACACACACAAAACCAGGTGAAAATTGGAATACAAAAAAGCAGGGAAAAAAACGAAAAGAGCCGAAAAACTCGCTGGGTTTTTTTAAACGCCCCTGAGCTGCCAACAAAAGGATTATCGCGATGGCAAGGACCACGAACAAGGAACTGAAGCTGGCGGCTCTGGAGCCTGCGAAATGGTAAGTTGATGGCTCACATTAACAATCCTGACCCCCCTTCCCCAAGGACACCACTGACTGTGACTCAAGATATTCTATCTGGTTGGAAGGGTCCTGTAAATCAAATGTGTTAAATTTGTAACTTTTACGCGAAAGATATGTCACTTCTTTAAGCTCAAAAAAATATAAGGAAAATAGTCAAGGGTTTTCTAGGATATATTTAACTAAACTCTCCTTATATATTTTCAGTATTATTTTGTTTTCGAATTTTAAAGCTTACCTATGACTTTAAAAACATTAAATAAATATATTATGGACTAATTTCACTTTCATTGCAGCATAATTAAAGGGCTTTGAAATTCAATTTATTGGATATATAAACTCTTTAAAATAAAGAAAGTAGCCCATGATTGTCTAAGAAAATTTAGAAATATCTTTTTTAAATATTATTTGTATTTTTCTTTAATTTTAAAGTCAAGCAGCATATATAAAATAACTACTAAACTCTAAACTTATCCAATTATTCAACTACAAGTACAGAAAAAGTAAATAAAGAATCTTAAAATAATTATATTTTGTTCAAGTACAAAAAAGTTAATAAAAAGCTTAAAATAATAATATTTTGTACATATTTTGTACATTAATTTAATATTTAAAACCCTTTGGTGCTTTGGTTTTTTTCAATAAAAACCTCTTGAATTTGAATAGAGTTTTCCATGTATCCTGCAAATATCTCTAATTAAAACGAATAAAAAAAAAATAAAAAACCTTATTAAAAAGTATATTATAACATTTTAAATTTATATACTTATTTTCTAAAATTTATATACTGTTTTTTAATAATTTTCCGGCTGACATTTTCTGCTCTTACTTAAATAAATTTTGCTAATTTTCTAAGCTAGAAAATGAGCCCCTAAATAGGGTTGATTAGAAAACACCTCTCTATATCTTATAGTTCTCATTTAATCCCCACAATTTCAATAAATTTTAAATTATTTCAAAGTTAAATAATAAAAATATATAAATTTGAAAACAAATCCAATAAGTTCCCCAATTTAACCTGATTTTCGCATAGTTATTCAGACATCTCCCTTGCACATCCTCGACTTTACTTAACCAATCAATATTATCGAGTTAGCAAACGCGAATTTGCGAGTGTGTGTGTGCCAGAGTGTGTGCTTGTGTGTGTGCGGAAGAGTGTGTGTATATTTCAGAGTGTGTGTGTGTTGTCTGAAAAAGCACGTGGAGTTTATAAAATATGCAAAGCAATACATATTTGAACAGTTTGGAGAGACGGAGGCAAAAGGCGCTCATCCGAGCAAAAGATGAACATGTCGAAGCCAACGGCCATTGCTTTTGTTTTTTTTTTACCTGCAATACACACAGGTATCCTTGTGCTGGAAATACAACTGATATATATAGTATGTGTACTTGTATCTTTCAGTTACCGTATTCTATATAAAATTATGTGCTCGCTAAAGATTCCATTTGCTCTTTATATAACTATACGCATGTGCCTTGTGTGCACTTTTTCCCCCAACTTGATAATGAAATAATAATCTGTATCACCGGTAAACAACCATTAACTAAATGGAGGATTAGCCAGTAGAATGCTCTTTGATGAGCTTAATGGAGTTGTGGATGAAGGGAATAAACTGGAAATTGGCCGACTTTAACGTTTTGAAGTGATGTCAATGGGCGCTTAACTCTTAAGCATTTTGCTATTTGACATTTTAAGAAGCAATTCAGGGATGAGTATTAAATGGTTGTCAGTTGGGGAAAACTGGAGGAACGAAAGGATGTACTAGAGATTTTTATAGAAGCAGAAATCCTGTAGAAATAGCATTTTTTAAAGAGAAGAAAAGGATATCAAATCTCGAAACTTTAAGTATTCTTTTATATTTTGTGGCAGGATATTAAACTTTAAACTTTAAACTTTCTGTCTAACAGATTAACAGTTTTGTGGCCAGGTGCAAAAAGTTTTGACAGGCACTCAAATTTTGTTAATTATTTTGCTTTGAACTTGACAAAATAAATAACAGAAACTTTTGTAATTATCAAGGTATTAATTACAAAGTTGTGGGAACAGTTAAGTTTGAACATAAAATAAATTTAAAGGTAAATGTATTTGAATGTAAATTATAGAAAACCAAGAAGATCATAAACAAAAAGATAGAAAAAGAAGCCTTAATATTGAAACAATATTACAAACTAAGTGAACAGACTTGGAATTCCTTAAAATGTATACAAAATCTTAGTTAAATGTTCCATATATATTACTATAAAATATGCTTAAATTATAAACATTTTTTCTATCATAAATTGAAGAAAACTAACTATTTTATAAACTAAAAATTTGTCTAAATTTACACTAACCTTCCTTTGCATTTGCAGACTTTTAATGAACATTTATCAAAAGGTTAAACATTTTTCAATAATTCTTGTGATAAGTAATTGTCTAGCAGCTAATTTTATGTTATATGTTATGATTATTTGTGTAAACTTTCCATATATGTACACATATAAAACGGCTTGGTTGCTAAGCCAACAAAATATTTAATAAATTGTGAAATGCAAACAATGTTGTTCCAACAATTTAATCGTTTTCCCATGAATCGAAATTTGCATAAATATGTTCACTTTCCAGCCCCTTTCTCATGATATTAAGCAGAAAAAGAGGAAATATAAATATTTGCATTCAACAGATTTTCATTTTGTATACACATTCGAATTCTACCATCCATAAATCCATTGCCTTTTGTGCCATTGAAGCCTTTAAGGAGACGTAAACAAGACGAGAAGTGGGAAAATCTGATGCCAAAAACATGTCGAATTTATGCACAACCACTGAGCCCACCTCAGCTACCTCAAACTTTTGGCCAAAAATAGCTAAAGGCATAAATAGGCTAAATGGCAGCAAAGCCGCAGCAAAGAATGTGGAAAAGCTTTTCCTTTGTGGGCCCATGGAGTTGTAATTAAAAGGAAATCCATATTCATTTCGTGTGAGCAAGTGAGGTAGGGGGTAGAAAAAAAGAAATGCTAAAGAGTGGCATGCACGGTGCAGGACGAAGGACGCAGGACGAGAAAAAATGGGAAAAATGGTAGAGTGTGTGGCATGTCTCTTTGTGTATTTGTCAGTCTGGCTGGAACGACACCAAAGAATGCTGACAGGAGAATTCCTGCGTCCTGCTTTCAGGGGTCCTTTTGCTTGGCGTGAGATGGCGACGTGATTCGGAAATCCTCTCAAGAAAAAATAATATAAAAAATAAATAAAAAACATAAATATTTGGTATACTTTAATATTAAATATTGAGGAAGAACTACTGGGTATTTTATATAACTTTGCTTAATGCATTTTTTGTTAAGGATGTTTTACATTAAACTGGAAATTGAGTTCTTAAAAGACTCCTTAATCTCCAAGTCCTATTAAGTACATCAATCTTTTTAATTTAAATGATTTCAAGGATTCAAACACTACTCTTTCTTGCTCATAATTTTCGAATATTTCATTAGTTTAATCATTATTTTTTGAACTAAGAACTTGATTTACATTTGGTTTCCCTAAGAGTCCTTCACGTCGCCATATCCTTTCCGAATCGCTTGCATATTTCCCTCGAAAGCATCGAGGTGACTCTGGGATTGGGCTGTGGGCCTGGGATGTGGCTCTGGTTTCTGGTTTCTGATGGCGGCCTATTTTGTGGCCAATGCTTTGCATGTTGCAAACAATTTTCCAGGGCAGCAAAAGCGGCAAAATGTTCGTGCGACTAATTTGTGAGAAAAAAAAAATGAGAAAGGAAGCAAGCGAAAAACAACAACGCCAACTGGCACGAGACGTTAAAATCAACGGTCCGTGTCCATTAAAACGGGGCCAGAAAGCAGGAAAAAATAAAATACAAGTCTGGGGGGTAAAGAGCCAACTCTCTGCGTTCCTGTTAATGAGAAATAATCACAAACATACAAAAAAAAAAGGAAACATGGCAAAAGGCCCCTTAATCCCCCCTGTGAACCAGTTGGATATATACAAATACCCATGGAAAATATACATGTATATATAAACCCGTATATGGGGACAACCTTCTGCGACAATCGGTAAACACACAAAGCTAATAAAAAACTGTAAAATATTCAACAATTGGCAAAGCTTTTAAGAGTCCTGCAGACGCCCCTCCTGTTATTGAAATGTAAACCTCGCTCAGCCAGCGCCAAAAAATATGCTACCCAAAATGCTGCAGAAGGAAAATGGAAATGGTATGGGCAGGGGCAGGGAAAAGTGATATAAAAATGTGGGGGCGGAGACAAATAAGTGGCACACGTTGAATAAAAAAAACGAGCAGGAGGAGAAGAAGCCAAAAGAAAGAAAGGAATCGTTTATGGTTTCATATAAAAATGTTGCTTTTAAGCGTTTAAGGATCATTGAATAAACGATTTTCCATTGAATTAAATCGAATTAAATTTAAAGCAATATATTATGTAAGGATATATAAGGATCTTAAGGATATTGATAGTTTCCTTAAATATGCCTTTACCATCAATCACAGCAACACCACCGCCACTCATCCTAACCCCACCTCATCTATTATCCCCATCCTATTTATGAAGGACGTACCAATGTAGACTCCTTTTATAAATAGCTCCTTCAAGGATCTGAGCCAGATTGTGGCCATAAATTACGTACCAAGAACAATACTCCCCTCACGTACACACACCCTGAACACGACTGGCTTTGGATAATTCCCTCTGCTTTTATAATGAGCATAAAAGGATAACCCAACAAAAGGCCCAAGGAGGAGCGGAAGTTGACTACGCATAATATTATGATCTAAACAAAATTGCGAATTAATTGAAATGAATGGGAAGCACAAAAACTTTTTGTATGTAGCAAAAACTGCAAAACCGGGGGAATACAAACTGACAAACAAACCAACAAAACTAACAAAACAAAACGTAAACATTTCAATTATGTCGCTGCTGCGGCAAACTTTTTCTTCCTCTCGGTTTTTTTTTTGTCGTGCTAATTAAGCTCAATGGTTTGCTCAGAGTGGGGAGACTACCAGTAATTAGCCGGCAAAAGTCTAAACAAAGCCAGAAACTTGAAAACAAATGAGCCAAGGAAAACCAAAGGTGGCGGGTGCGCCGAATGGCGGCGACGGGAAGAACAATGGCAGCAGGCCATTTCCGGTGCGCCCATGTGTGCTGTCGTTCCCAGCGCCAGGGGGCGCTCGAGTGTCTCTCATTTCCTTTCATTGCCTTCCTCAGCCTTGTTAGGGTAATGGTAAATAGGAAAGGGTATATTGGTTTTGTGGTAAAGTAATAAAAGCTATATACCTCACTAATATTTTTAATATTTTAAAAAGCATCAACAGCTTAAACAATCTTGAAAATTGTATTATTTAGAGGCAATTGTTGTTAGAAAATATTTTAAGGTAATTCTAGAATATTTCAATATTTTTGATATACTTTACTTAATGAAAATTTTTTTAAATTTTTAAGTAAATAAAAATAATTATTATTATATAATAAACCATTAGGTATTACTTTTATAATTTTTAAACAATTCTCATTGCATACCAGGTACCTCATAGTCGTTACACACAACCTATTCCCTAATACATCCTTTTTTTGCAGCAACAGTTTGTTTCCTTGTTTGACTGCTTGTTTGCCAAGACAACGACACGCTTATAAATTTTTAATTAAATTGTTGTTTTCTAGTTTGTCGCCATTGTTTTTGCTGTTGTTTGCCGAGTTCTATCTAGTCACAGGAAAACGCATTGATTGTCCCCATTCGTGAGTGTGTGTATAAGTGCGTGGGTGTGGCCATATCCTTTGTTTGGAAATTGGTTTGGTATAGATTGTGCAATTGACTGTCCATATTCGATAGCTACTCCGGGGCAAATTGAGTTGTTTAACTTGCAATTGAACCGGGGGAAATCAAGAGATTAAATCGTAGAAGTGCTTAAAGTTCAAGCAAAGGAAAGCGAATTTCAAAGAGACTCAAATCAAATTTTAAACATAGGTAAGGAAATTTAAGAAAAGTTAAGTTTATAAAAACTCAACGAAAGGATGATCATTTTTCATTATCCAACACAAATAACCTTCATCAATTGTTAAGGTTCCTAACGAGTGGCACGCAATAGTTTTATCCTATGTACACACATGTCTAGACCATTAATATCCAATTTATTATGTATTCCCTATCAGGGCTTAGAATAAAATGCTGAAGCCTGAACCCCATTGAGACCCTTACATGTCTGAACAATTTTTTCTTGTTCTCTCCCTTCGAAGGCGACTTTGCCTATGACAAATTAACTTATTTAGTGGCACAGTAGCGGACCGTCATACGAAATAATTTATCAAACTCGTATATAAATTATTTATGTCCTGTGAGTGTGTGTGTGTGAGTGGGTATAAGTGCTTAGCACGCCCACACAATATTTTCCAAGAAATGAATAAAAATTGTTGTCAGGCGTGTGGTTGGCGTGTAGGCGTTGTGGCAAATGCCAATCACAGGCATTAACTTGGACGTAAAAGATCGGAGGTGATTTTAGGAGGTGCTACACTCGGATACAAGAGGGGAGGAGGCATAATGAGGCGGAGAGTGGTCCGAAGCCATAACTGGAAATCGGGGCCAAATGATAAATGACACTGCAGTCGAGGCCTTTCAAAATTATCATAATTTTCTCCTTTTAATTGCCCCACGTTCGAGAAAGGCACTGGGAAAAATTAGTACCTAAAAAATTTCTTTCAATTATTTTAGTTATATTACTCATACGCACTGTTGCTTCAGAAGCTTAAAAACGTGAAGAAGTCATTTCCCACCCTATAAATCATATATATTCTTGATCAGCATCAACAGCAGAATCGATCTAGCCATGTTTGCAGAGAAAAAAAAATGTACAATTTTCAAAATTTTCACATCATTTTATGGTGGTAAAAATTCATAAAATTTTAATTTTTTAACATTTTAAATTGAGTATGCAGGTTTATTATCTAATAAAACTAACATAGGAAAACTTCCGAATTAAATTAATGCATTTTTGACTGAGTTATGACCTTTTTTCACAGGAAGGGTATAGAATTTCGGTTTCCCAAGTTCCTTCCTTTTTCTTGTTTAACGATTTAAAATTTTATTCTAATATAAGGGGAACTGGCAAAATTAGCTTCCCAAAGTTGAATTCCTTTTGTTGAATTTATATTACTCATACGCACTGTTGGTTCTTTCAATTATTTAATAAATATTACTCATACGCAGTGTTGACTTTACTTTAACTGCTCTTAAGGAGGTTTCCTGTATTTTTTGTTATCAAATTAATTTCTCTTACCTTTGTCATAAATTATAAGCTTCTTGAACTCATTTCTTGCGGTGTAAAAGGAGCAAGGAACCGCTACTGGCTAACGTTGGTGTTGGCTAGGCTTGTTTGCGTTGGTGTTGGCTGCTCCTGCTCCTGCCGCAGCTCCTGCCTCTGCTCCTGGCTCTGCTCCTGCTCCTCCTCCTCCTCCTCCTCCTGCTCCTGCTCCTTAGGTGCCATTGCCTTTGCTTCTGCCCAGTGCCGGGTGCCGGGTAATTTTGCATGCAAATAACTGGAAATTAGTGTAAGTGCTCACTGACATGCCACACACATACACATAGAGAGCGGGAAAGCCACTGCCATTGCCTTTCTGCTTGGGTCCTTAGCTCCGTGATCCTTGCACCTCGCTGCTGGAACCCGGACAGCCCAAGGAAACCCAGAGCCAATGGCAGTGCCAGAGATAAACAGACGATGGCAGAATAAAGTGGCAAACGCTTAGCAGCACGGTTCAACACAGAGAAAAAACTAGAGATAAAATAAGATATATAAAATAAATAAATAAGTCAATTTATGAAGCATAATAATAGGTAAAACATATACTTTACAGAGCTGTTAGGGTATTTTCAGGGTGTATTTAATGAAGTCATTAAACAAATAAAATTCAGCTCCTTCAGAAAAATGCAACGCAAATTAATAGAATATAAGCAAATCCCTTTAAATCATATATATTTCTCATACTTCAAATATTTATTTAATTTATTAAATAATAACCTTATTTATTCCTTATAAATGTTACTCTAAAACTAACCCATTTTGAGCAGTGTCTTTGAGTTCCCTGCAGGTACCATGTGGGCGTTGTATGGCAGCATATCTAAATCGGCTCCTTTGCTCCTCCTTGGCTGCTCTGCTTGGTGTCCTGGAACATCAACGCTTTAAATAAAAAAAAGAAGAAAAATCCATTAAAATGCAATGAGCGCACAAAAACGTTTTATGCCACGAGCTGAACCCAACTGAGCTTGGATTTAAAATTGCAGTCGGTTTACTCGCCGAGTTGGAATAGAAAAGGAAGTGCAGAGGCATTGCCATAGAGATGGTATAGCATAATTATGAAATTTGTTTGGATTTAAACCCAATTAATTGGTTCAGAAAAGGTAGATTGTTGATTAAATGTATTATAATAATTGACAGTCACTTACAAATTTTAAAAATATTTAAAGGGGCATTTAATACTCTTAAATCAATGAGTTTGGATTTGATATATTTTAAGCAGCCTGTTAGGAAGAGAGAAATATAAAAAGACTTCACTAGAATTATAAACTAACTAAAAAGGCATTATTTTGTAGCAAATAATATATATAATCCATGTAAATCAATTCGTTCTTAATACTTGTGAAATTCACTTTACAATGATGATTATATTCAATAAAAACCTTTACCCAGATTTGTGATAATAAGTTGAAACTGTATTAAAAAGATTAATTTTTAAGTCTTCCAAAAGTTAGTTTAATAATATTTAGATAATGAAAGAAGAATATTTTCATTAAAGAATATTTAAAAACAAAAGGTATATAGAAGCATATTAGTAAATATAATTTCAATACGAAATTTACTTAAATTCTTAAAATATTTAAGACAAAATATAAACTATCAACTGTCGAATTGAGTAAAAATATATTATATCCCAAAGTATCACTAGTCGAACTCTTAACAATTTATATTAATTAGATAGTAATTAAACTGCAAGTGTGTCTAATTCAATTACCATTCCTTTCCTCTTGTTAAAATGCATTTCCCATAACAAAGTCAGTTACAGTTAATACCTTAGCAATGGCTAAGCTATGTATTTTATTTATTTTTCTATCGCTCTTGGTGGCTCGTGGTTGGTCATTGCATAGATTCGAAATGGATATAATCACAAAGCTAAACACAGAAAATGCAGATACGAAAAACTTTGTGATATCTCCATTTGCAATACACCAGACACTGGCAATGCTCTACTTGGAGAAGGACAAGAAAAGGGACTATCAACTGGCCAATTACTTCGTATCACTGGCAAGGGTACCAAAAGGATTCTATCCTATTTCAGTCCGAAGCATAAGAAGGCGCTAAGTCAGGAGTTTACAATGGCAAATCAGATATATTATCCAGATAATTTCAATATATCAAATCCAATGAAAACTATGAGTGACGGACTCAATGTAGATGTGGCGAAATTGCAATTTTCCAAAGGCCAAAAGGCAGGTGAAGATATCACCAAATGGCTATCGAAATCAATAAAAGAAATGACTTTAAACTTTGGGACAAAAATGTACCCAGTGATAAAACAAAGCTGGTGGCTGTTCAAGGACTTCTCGTGAACCCTTGTGGAAGTATCCATTTAAATGGTTCATGTATAGGAATTTTACTGTCCATAAGCTGGAATGAAACCGTCTTTTTTCAATACCAAAATGATGTATGGCACAGGACCTTTTGCATCCTTTATGCAAGATGAAGTCCGTGGTGTGACAATACCACTTTCCAAAAGCGATATCAATTTGATTATTTTCATGCCCATTGAAAACAAAAATAATGTTAATAATGAAATTCTGGGAAATCTAAATAAGTATTTGGATATAAAAATGGAAAAAAATCAGAAAGCTCACCTATATATTCCCGTATTAGTGGTCGATAATACGCTGGACTTGGGGAAAACCCTCGAGAGCTTTGGTATTAAAAAAGTTTTCACTGGAAAAACAGCTGGAAAATTATTTAAATCGGCTTCCATTTTTAAACAGCTTAATGTTCTAAAGGTGAAGCCACTTGAGTATCAATGTAAGTTAATTAAAAACTAAATAAACTTTTAACATATTAAAAATGTATCGATAAAAAATCGTAGTATCATATCGATGTCGATTAATATCGCATGTCATTGGTAACTTTTACTTATATTTGTCTTAGAAATACTAACCAAATTCTTTAATTTGTTAAAATTTAAATCTTAATAATCGCGATATATTTTCTTTTTACTTGTCACTTCAAACGATTTTATTGATTCGATATATCAAAAATAATATATATTAAAATATCGATTTATATAACAATTGTCATGTCAAAAGACGATAAATCCTTTGATATATTCAAATGATATATTCAATAAATTCCCTTTTAGGGGAAGCCGAATATCCCGAGGATGATGACAATAAAGTTATCCTAATTGACAAACCATTTGTGTTCGTTATCAAGGACTCGAAAACCATTTACATGGCCGGCCGTGTGGATACTTTGAAAGGAGCTACCAAACTCTAAAATTTTCTAACTGAATTGTAAATTAAATTAACTTAAATGGAGACAAACAGAAGTTTGTTTTTTTTTTTTTTTTTTATCCCGGCCATTAGCGAAAGTTGTATGTGTGGAAAGGCGGGGCAAAAATCCCCGATGGCATTGTTTACAACGTTGCCACGCATATTAATTGCCTGTTTAAGCAAATTGAGGCCACAAAACATCAGTAGCAGTAGCAGCAGCATCATCACCGTGGTTTTGCAGCTCATTCCCCGAACGCATTCCCTTTTTTAGTATTTTTTTCGTGCCCCTTGGTGTTCACATTCCACAATTACTCGCAATTTGCGGTGGCAACGAAGCCAAATGCTGACAATTGCATCATGGCAAGGACGAGCGTCACCTCAGCCTCCTCCCTGCCACTCCATTCATCCTGCAGTTGCATAAATTATAAGACTGGGGGCCAAAATAAGGAAGGGGAAAGCCAACGTTGATTTCCCACGAACCCGCTGTGCTAGGACCAAAGGCATCGACGACAGCTCTGAGTCCTTTAAGTGCCGGCTTCTCTCTCTCTCTGCAGGATATCAAAAGCAGTCCTGCACAGCAGCAGGAAGTCTCTCTTGAGGTTGCAACATGCAACGCCGTGATTTTCAACTGACTGCCACAAATACCAAAGGTAGAATAAATGCAACCATTTGAGTGCTGTCATAAATTATTAAGTTTCTTGCTTAATCAGCCGAAACTTGGCAAGAGATAGCAAATTACAAATTGACCTGGAATAACATATGGAGAAAGGTTACAGGGAGACAAAAATCAAGAATTGCTTATTACGTTTCTTTTAAAATATATATAATTAAATATTATAGAAATACCTGACTTCAAAAGCATTTTTTTAAGTATAGAATTCTTTAGGGAAGTCCTTCAGAAAATCATTGCAACATTGATATAATTTAATACTTCACAATAGCAAAACTTAATAAAAGTATTACCTTAAATACAGAAACAATATTTAAATATTATAAATATAAAAAAATATTACAAATTTAAATATCTATATGAGGCAAATATATATTTATTTATTCCACTTTCAAATATCTAAGTTTAGTAAAATATTCTGCTTCATGTACTGTCTAAATAATTAATTGCTCCCCCTAAAAGCATAGTGTGCTATTGAGTCAAAATACAGCAGTTTCCTTTTACCGAGTACATCAATAAATTATTAAATGTTACATGTTTAACAACCTAAAACTCTATGGAGAGCAATTAACCTAAAAATAGTGTCATGCATTTGCGCCACTCGAAAGTTCTTGGAACAAAACATGCATTGCTCATACGCTCCGTTGGCCCCAACAATCACTACAAACTTGCATTATGTCAGTGAGCAGTTTTTATTGGTTATAATAAAAACTGATGGCGCCTACCAGAAAAGGGGGTTTCCCCGGGGGAGTCAGATGGAGAAATAAAAAATGCAGTGTCGCCATTCAAAGAATTCTGGAACTAAAATTGAAAAAGCTAAGAGGTCAGAATGCTGACTGAATGCAAAGGCTTGAGATCACTTTAGCAGAGAGATAATATGTATTTACTTTAAGAAGGGTAATGTTTAGGAAATTGAAGCCTTGCAATTTTTGTATATTAAATAAAATAATACAAATTTAACTAGAGATAAAAAAAGGTAAAGAGATTTTCCAGGAAAATCATTACAACTTAAGCTCCCATTCATCGGTTTCGCCCTATTATATTTTTAGTTACAAGTTCGCAGAATTTTATAACTAAAGAAGGATTTCCCAGGTATTCCTAGAAATATTTTTAATTAAAACCCCAAGCTACTTTTCCCGGCTTTTCCCTTAATTAAATCTTCAGTAACTAATTCCCACAGCTAAGTATAAAAACAAAGAATTAACCATGACGAAAGGGGGTTTCACACTAAACGATTGTCCATGGGCTGCGACTACAAAAGGGAGAAAACTTTGTGAGAAAAAGTCAAATAACCAAAGGAATCGACAAAAAGTTTGATGGAAATAAATGGAAACAATTACAAGTCAGACAGCGGATACTCGTGCCAGAATTGTTCGCTTTTGTTCTCGTACTTTAACTTTATCCTTGGCTTTATTCCTTACCCTCCTCAAACTCACTTAATTGAATTGAATGCCAAACATCGATGTGAATGATTATGATGATGATGATGGTGATGCAAAAGTGCACTCGAGTGCAAGTTATTCAGGGAGCTCTTCTTCTACTTGGCAATATGGCAAATGGATTCAAGTAACAATGCCTTTTGGAATATAAAGCCGCCTGCACTCGGCACTCTCAAAATGGTAAAAGCACAAAAAGTGGCCAAAAGACGAACGGTATTAGCGTGTCAAAATGACATAAACCAAAATCACATTTTTAGCCCCATTGTTTTTGTTTGTAGAGACATGTCAGAAAAGGGCATAAAACCGATAACCGAAACAAACGCATAAGAAATGGCAATCGTTGGAAAAGTAGGGTTGTAACTTGCCATAAAACACCCTTAAGGAAACCTTTATCTATGCATTAGCATTAAATTAATTTAAGCTTTGAGCTTAACTAATATTATAGTGCTAAAATGATATGGGGAATCTTTTATAATATTTCAGCTTTAAATATTTATTTAGTCAATATATAGAACATCCCTTTAACTTGTCCAACTGTTGACTCTCTCACCTGGTTACCTGTCCTTTGTTTCCCTTCGGTTTTTCTTCTCTCTTCTAAGTTTTTTTTATTGAATTTTCACACGAGACCCAGGCCATCGTCTAGTTCACAGACCCCTTCGCACAGCTCATTTAACACATTGACATTTGCTTATTAACACCGCCGGGTCAGGCTTTGTAGCCCGAGACCAAGGTTGTTTAACTAATGGACTGAGCATTAAATCGAATATGCTCGTTATACACATGACTTCGATAATAATCGATAATGATTTGTGTGCGTAAATCGAGGGGTGAAGTTTCTCTTGCGTGCCACACGGCGTATACTTAATGCGTTGTGTTATATGGCATAGAATTCGCTTTCATGGTCACTGACTTGAGGAAATTGTTGGTAATTTAAAATTTGTAGTTAAGAATTTAAGAATTATTTTTGAATAATAATAATATAAATATATAAAAAATAAAAAATATCAGTTTTTATAAAGAAAATAGGAATAAAGGAAGGTTAGAAGGACTTATACATATATGATTCATAAATGATTTAGGATTTGTAATAAAACAGTTGAAAAATTTATAATATTAATTAGTATATATAATATTAAATTTTAAGAATATAAATACTTTTTATAGTGAGAAAGTCACTTTAGGTAACAATTTTCTACTCAAAGTCATAGTACCAACTAAGAAATTTAAGAAAACCCTTAACAACCTAATAACTTCATAAAATCATCAATTTTTCAGCAAAAATTTAATCAAAATCCATAAAACTAAAAGAAAACTTAGTATTTTCCAAAACCATCCTTCATTCATTCATTTTCCATTTATACTTTACGGCCATTGACTTTGACTGCCTTGTTTTCCCTTCAATTAAAAACTTCTTTTGGCACATTTCAAATGCTAAACTAGAAGCGGTCTGTGGGTTTTCCCCAAAACTTTCTCTCATTTCTCGACAATTTTGCGGTGCTCTTTGGTGCAAAAGTTTTCCTTGCAAAAAAGTGCGCGTGTGCCCGATGTTGCCCTTATTGTTTCCCCGTTTTTATTGTTGTGGCCACAAAATGGTTGGCGCACAACAACACTTAAGCTTAAGTGACTACTCGAGACTTTTCTTATTTTTTTTCCTCTCTTTTTGTGTAGAGTGAAAGGGGGGAGGGGGTGGGGGAGTGGGACTGCGTGACCGGAAAGTGTTTGGCGCTTCCGGTTGCCACAGCCGCCGATGCCACCGCAGCCCACCGCTGCGGAGCGAGTGCACGTAGACAATAACAGCAAATACGGTCACAGGGACAAAGTACAAGCAGAGAGGGAAAATCTTGGCTAAAAAGGATTGATTTTGAAATATATTCTTAAATATTTTCTAGTAAATATATTTTCAATAAGTAAGTTATATTATTTCTATATAAATTAACTACGTAAAGGATACCTTAAAATTGACAATATGATGCATTTACTTTATTTAATTTAAACTAAGCAACAAGTACAAACCGAGAGGAAAATCTTGGATAAAAAAGATAGTAAAAAATTATAAATTATATATTATAATTAAATATTTTCTGGTCTAGATAAATTGTATTCCCTTAAAAATTGATTATGGAAGCCATTTCTAAGGTTCTCCATGTAATGTCTCCTTTTCTGATTTAATTTAAACCAGTAAATAATAATAACTTATAAATTAAATTTATATTGGTATATAAAATTAATAAATAATATTTTCTAATTTAGTTTCTAATAAACTTAAGTTTAATAATGTCTTACAAACCTTTAATAAATAATTCAAAAAAAAATTACAATAACTCAATTAAGAAAGCAATTTGAAGTCTTGTCCTGGGCCTAATTTATGTTTTTCATATATAACCTTTCGATTTTAAGTATTTCTCAGGCTTTTCATTTAGAAAAATTATTTTCTATTCCTTAAATACCTTTTTCTCAGTGTACAAGTACAAATACAAAAGACAGGCAGCCACGTGTACTGTCACCTGGTTTGTTAAATCCAAATTGTTAAGCATAGCGAACTTTTGATGCTCTGAAAGTTTTAGTCTTCGAAGTTTATTTTGCGATTTATTAACTTAATTATCCAGATTGTGTTAAGCACTAAGAAGTTTTAATGAAAGATCAGAAGAAGAAAAGAGTCAAAAGAATACATATAGTTTCTTTATAAGCCTTGAATAACTTGAACCAAATTAGTTCATCATATTTATTTGCATTAAATTAAGTAATATAACAAATTAAATGTTAAATCAACTAAGAAGTAGATGAGTAAATAATATCTTTTACAATTTAAATAAACAGAGAATCAATGACAAGCAAGGCAAACAATGCTAAGCCTCTTAAAAAGCCAAGCTCCTTCTTTAAGGGTTTTAGTTAATAGTTATCCTGTGAGTTTTTTTTGTACCAACACTTGACCAACT